CACAACTGCAAAGTTCCCATCTGACTCATGAGTGGAATGGGCTCACCAGAGACATGACTTTCCCTGACATGTATCTACGCTTCTTGGCTTTTCTGCTACACTCCTTCTCCAAATTGTTCTACTTCATGGATGAAGATGATACTCTGCACTTGCTGCAGATGGGCTGGGATGTATCTGGGTCCACTGGTTGGTTGATAACTCTCTTATATTAACAGTGATTCCCATTTCACCTTCCTAAGAAAAATTCTTGTTTCAAATTCCAATTGCTTGTTTGGAGTTCGGCTTTTTTTCTTCCAAAAGCATTTGAATATCATTAACTGTAGGCTAAACATTCTGTCTTAACTGTATGAGTGCACAGAATTAAATATTGCTTAAAACCCCTCATGTAATCAAACCAATATTTGGATGCCAGTAGCAGAAAAAAAAGCGTGAGCAATAGCCACTTGGATTTTCATACCTCAAGTGCCAAATATTCCCTCCCTTTCTCTGTCTGTCTTTTGTTTATCTTCTGTTTATTTTTTCAGGTTCAGTTTGGTTGTACTGGAATACAGCCCATTGTTCAAGGCTCCACAAGAGGACTTTACAAAATGTTATAGGAGTGAGGAGCATCTGGCTGGTTTGGCTGAAAATCCTTAACAAGCTTAGTTACTGTGGGAGCTAAAATAAAACGAGAAGCTGAAGCAAAACATAATGTTAATGAGAACACTTCTTGGATTTTACTTAAGCAAAACAAAAGTACAGCCAATTTCATAACTTTGCAAATTTACCAAACAAAATACTAAAAAGTCTGAGCAAATAAGAAACAGTTACTGTATATATCACCAAAGTGACTGAGAACTACCAACTGAAATATATTTTTTTTAAAGCTAAGCATTTGCTTGCAAAGCTATCCTTGGTTTGCTGTTTCATTATATAAAATATTAAATTTTCTATCTTATACATATTTTAATCTTTATTTAGGTTTTCAGTCTCTAAAGTTTTAAGTGAGAAATGTATAAATAAATAGGCATGGTATTGGATTAGTAGGTGGCTCCATTTCAACCCCAAATTGGACTTTTTGCTGCACTGTGATCTCTGCGTGTATTTGCACATTGATATTATCAGTCAGACCAAGGTGAGCAGATAAGGATGCCAGAAACATTCTGCTGTTGTAGCACTAAGCAAAATGTGTCTGCTGCGAGTGCCCTTTCCCCATTTCTGTCCTTTCAGTTGTGTCCTTAAATGCAGGTCTGTGCGTCTACAGTAAGCAAGGTTACCTTTGAGGTTTGCAAGGGTGGAATTAGCCTGTGATGTAGGCCTGAAAGGCACAGTCTGTCCTGTTAGTGAAGAAACATATAAAATTCTTACTGGTCATTAGCATGAAGGTACTGTCCAGCTTAAAATTCAAAATGAGTTAAGGAAAAAGGTTAACATTTTTTTTCTAACTTCCTTGTAACAAAAACAAATTGTGATGAGAAATTTTGGTAATTTTGATGACAGGATTGCTAGGAATTTTAGAAGGTGACATTTTCACACAATATCTAAAAAATTTCTCACCGTTGAGTATGACTATGTCCCTTGATTTTGTACAGCTGTAAAAAAACCCACTTTGATTACAGGAAACTGAATGGGTTTTACTCACTATTTCAGGGCTTTCCATCTCCCTGAAATATCTCATTAGTAGAGAAGTATGAAGATAGGTAAAACAAAGCACAAAAATATAGCAGTGTCACTTAAAATCAGATTTGAATTTGCATTTGTCCTGTAACCTGTCATCAGCAAAAGCAACAGCACAAGCTTGTATCCAGAAGGTTCAACGATCTCTTGTGTCCAAATAAGAAAGACGACTGCTGCATCAAGTGTTCATCTAGCCATAGGCTTCATCTGGTTACTGTGCAGATCCTTACATACACCTCAAACCATGGATTTTAATGTATCCCTTCTGTAAGATTTATCATTAATGGCAACTTTAAATACTTATGTTGTCTGATCTCCTTTGAATCTAAACTCTTGATCTCAGCCACTGCCTATAACAGTATATTTCACCCTTTCAGTTGGTGTGATGTGTTTGACTTGCTCAGTAAAGTTCTGAAGACAAAAACTGAAATTAACGTACTCTTAAGGTTTGTGAATCATGGAGCCCTATGTGGAATAGCCTTTAGTACATGGCAGGTCAAGGGATATACCTAGATGCCAGAGAGAAGAGAGACAGCTTTTTTCAGGAAATGTTCCTGAGCTAATTACTCCATATTATGTTATAGGATTTACTGCAGTTTTTAAAATATTTCATGATTTCTTGTACCTGTCTCTTTACTAAATGGAAAAAAAAAAAAAGAAAAAAGAAAATCCAACAAAATGCCAGACTTACTATAGCCCTATAGGAAACTTTTCCTATAGGAAAGGGGATTTTTGTGTGACCATGGCCTTGTCAACCTTCTCAGAACTATTTATTTCATACAGACATATTCAGATGAGTATTCAGTGCACAACTGCAGCGCAAATGGGGCACTGCTGTTGATTTCTGATAGCATTCTTAACACAACTTTGACTGTGTTTTTCCTACCAGTTGCACATTGAGCAGAAGTGAGATTTCTGCATATTCCCAGATCCTTTTGAAAAGTGACAGGTAATACCACTTTCTAAAGCATACAAGCCCTTTATTTTTCCCCTGTGGTGAGACATACTTAGAATTCATTGATACTAAAACTCATTGTTATCCTGTTATCTTTGCGTATCTCATATAGATCTCTAAAATTCCTTGGTTGTCTCTGGTTTCAGACTAATACAAGTCACATTCATTGTTCTGCAAGTGTCTCTGCTTCTCTGATCACTTCTTTTTTAAGATATTGAATAAACACAAAACCCAAGATGCTCACTGAAAAGCTTACTAACATGTGTCTTGTAACTTTTTGCCTTTATGAAAATCAAATGCTGACCCAACTTTTTTTTTTTTTTTTCTCCCTGCCTCCTAAGCAAGTTTGCTTCCTGATTTTTTACATCTCACAGGGCTCAGGGATGGTGCAGTAGGTTAGAAGCATACAAAACTATCATCTGCTTTTCTGTTATTCTGGACTTTTTAGCATAAGAGATTTCTTTCCCTACAGAGCTGTAAACAGCCTGAATTTTGCTGCAGAAATATGAAAGCATCCCCAGCAGATGAACTCCAGTGGGATCTGGTTTGGCTGGCTTTTCAGGGGGCAGAGGGACCAACTTTGTAATCTACTGCCTTCCACTCAAATGCAGATAAAAAACACTGATGTAGCTCACACACAAAAGGTAAAATGCCTGCTCTGCCTTGAAACACAGTTTAACTCTCAGCAGTGACTTTATAGGCACTTAGAAAAACCTCAAAGAGGAAATGTCAAACATTTTAATTAGCGTTTACTTCATCCACTTAATCACCTCCTTAGATCTCTTGACTAGATCAACATGACTAGACCACAGTTTTAACAATGGGCTGTTGCTTACAGCAGAAGACCTTTGCCATGATTTCTGTAACTAAAAGTTTTTCAGCTGGGAGTAAATCCAGTATGTGTTTAACCAGTGGCTCTTGTGGCAACAAGGATTGTGAAATGTCCCAAAAAATGTCAAGTAATAAACACCAAAAGTAGCTTTCAACATGGACACTTTTCACCTTTATATTAATTTCATGGAGCAGTTACTTTAAAAAGGAACAATATGAGTTTAGACTAGGCAAAAATTTAACTAATGCAATTTACTTTCATAGTGTTTCTGAGGATGAGTGAAGAAAAGGGAAAATTCAGAAGGGGGAAGTGTTATATGCAATCTTTTCTGAGTGCTCTGTACGTCCAAAAAATCAGCTTTTTTATCTCACCAGCAATAAGATGCTGAAATCGGACTGCCTGAATAGGACCACAACCCATTGAAAAATTCCTGTTGTCACAGATCACAATGAAATTAAAATTTCCTAGTGATCTTTTAAGTAAAGGAACATGATCTTTTACCATCAGTTGGAAGGAGACTATATTCATACAGAGTATACTTACATTTTCACATATTCTTCTCCCAACTCTGCATCTTGTCCTTTTACCTCCACCATACCATAAACATCCTCTATGTGTTTGGGCATGTTTGGATTTTGCATTGGTGCTTTCCAGATGTCTTCCTGAACAAGGAAACTCACATGTAATGAAGAGACTAAGTACAGTTTTACAGCTACATGGGTAATATGTAGGTGTAGTATAATCTGTATAAGGGTTGGTAATATGGATATATCTCTGTCAGACCTCATAATAAACATGTGCTTTGATAAACAATATTTGTGCAGGCATTTCTTGAAGAACAATGAGGGACTGAAAAAATTGTGTCACTACTGGAACCACCATAAGGTTGTAGTATCCACTGCACAATACTTTCCATGTGAATTAAACATCCATGACCTTCCACAGCTGACTCATGATCCCCAAGGAAGGCTTCAGATAGTAACCAAGGCCAAGAATAGTAGCACATCAGAGTCTTGCATTTACTCTCCAGCACTAAGCACCTTTCTATCTCACATGAACCAGTCCTCTCCCTCTCCTAGATGCCTTGGTACAGCTCCACCTCTTGTTTTTCCCTGATTCACTCCCAACAACATGCTTCTCAACATCAACAGTATACTTCTCTCAGCAAAGATATTCAGATACTGTAATTCTCACCTCAACTTTCCCTACAGTTGGAAGCATGACTTGGGAGGAGAACTTTAGTAGAGCAGTGAAAGAGTGAGATTTGTGTGTATCAGTTTTTATCATTATAGGGAATGAGTTGTAATAACTGGATAATTTTGATTATGATTATTATAATCAAAACCACACCAAAAATAATTCATTGATTAGGCCATCAAGATCTTAACTGGACTATTAATGAATTCTTAGCTTCATATGTAATGTATGTTTCTGTAGTCCAGCTAAATTGCGTGCCATGTTTGCTTTGGAACTCTTTCTTACTTGGAATGGATCCTATTTTAACTGGGTGTTAAGATATAGCATCTGCAGCTCATGGAAAATACAGGTAGCCTAGGTTGTAATTAGCAGTGCAACATCTAGCTCATTACCATCTGCAGATTGTCCCATTATATCTACACTACATAAGTCAGAGTATTCTGAAATATCCTTATGTTGGCAAGGTCCTACTGGGACATCACTAGGTTTTATTTGCAGTCTTTGAACCCCTCCATTCCGAACACAGAAACAGTCATCAAATTGTTACATTCAGTACCCAGACTGAACTTGTTGCACTAGCAATTGAGACAGGGTGAATGCTGCTAGGCTGAAAAAAGAGAAGGCAGAGTAGATACAAACACTCTGTATCATCAGAAGGTTATGAATTGTTTTCAGGTTCAGCTTTGAAAACAGTGATTTGCAGTAATCCAGCTAAGCACATTCCCCTAGTCCCAACATAAAGCACAAAAAACCAATTGCTTTTCAAAGGAATTCAAGTTTCAAAAGTGAGAGGAGAAAGAGATTCTACATAATTTACTAATGACTATTGTTATAGATTTTACTTTACTCAGACAATTGGCTGATAGATGGCATTATACAGCACTTACAATTTTAAAGGGGATCTCAGCAGAGGGCTATTTCTTAGAACAGCAGTTCATTGTGGAAAAAAGGTCCTGAAAATGGAGACAAAAGGGAGACTTTTAATCAGAGCACTAATGTGGGCTCTCTGTGATGAAGCTCTTATCATTCCACCACAAGCAGTGTACGGCACTTAAAGACAGATTCTGTAGAACAGTAATAGGGGCTTTTAAATCATTATTTGCACTTTAAACATAGGGAAATATGTGATTGATTTATAAAACATTACACAGAAAGGAAAATAACAGGGAAGATAAGTTATGCTCTTTGATTGCCTTTTTTGTTTTCTTTTTTTCCTGGACCCTGGAGCCTGTGGCTATTTCCTGCTAAAAGCAAAAACAGTAGTTCAGGCCCAGATAATTTATGTTCTGTTTGCAAGAAGCATTCTAATTAGTGACAATTTCATTGTTTCAATGACATGGTTATATATCTATAATGGAAAATAATAACATGGAAGGAAACTGGCTGATCTGTTAGGTGTGCTAGTCCCCTAATGGAATATCAAGACAAAAAAAATACAGATAAGCAGGGGTCAGCTAAAGGGAAGCATAACTGCCTATGATTATACTCAAAGGCGAAGAAATAACCAACAGCTCTGCCTGAAGCATAGGGCCAGAAGATTTTCACTGACACCTGAATTAAATTTATCACATTGAGAAAGAAACTACTGTAGCTTTGATGCAGAATTAAACAATTTGTAGCTACTAAAATAAGATACCAGAGAATTGCATTTTGCCATAGCAGGTACTTCAGCTTCAGTCTTCTGGTCACTTTCAGATGGAGGGAAATCTTTTATTGTCATGGCCTCTTTGGTACTACAAAACACTATGGAAGTCGAGCAAATTCCAAGCTGGAGTCCATATAATTTTATAGATGTTGACCCTCATTGAAAGTCATGATATAGAGTATTTAAACTGCTACTTCATTTATTATTATTTGCACATTATGGCTTCAAGCTATTCTACATGCAGGTGCCGATTTCAGCAGGGTAGCAGCAAAGGTAAGTGTTGCTTGGGGTTTATTTATTTATTCATTCATTCATTTTATTCTAGTTGAATAGAAAAGAAATGCAATATTTTGATTAACTGAAGAATTCTGCTTGTATTGTTCTGACAACCTGCTAAACAATCTTGAATAATATCGAAGATTACTGAATCCATTTGAACTCTGAATGTGACATTTGCAGTTCTGTGTAAAATGGAAGAGACATCCAAGTATTTTGCATACAGTAACATGCCAGTCAGGACTGTTATTTTGTGGAAATGGAAATGCATAAGGTCAAAGAAGGTAATATCTAATGTACTGATGTATGAACAAAATTAATTACTCCTCCAAAATATCCCAAATAATACAGACATATGTAAAGCAAAATGTAATTTGATTTATCTATTATCCACTAAGAATGCTGTTGTTTTTAGTAGTGTGTTTAATTTCTTCTAAAAAGAAAGAAACACAATAATGAGGATTTAGTTGCATAGTTACAAGCTTCCTGATTACTCACAGGCAGAATGTATCACTGTAAAACTATGATTTCTGTCCATTGCAAAAACTGCGAGGAAAAAAAAAATGTATAAGATAAAATTGGGGAATCTGGGATTGAATTTTTTTTCTCAAAATCATTAATTTTTTTTAAAGAATAATAAATGTTGCTTTGCATGAAATTGCAAAAACATTAGTTTCTACTGCTGGCATCTTGAGACCTTTTGCAAATATTAAATACCCTTAAACACATCAAAGGCATTAGAAGTGTTCAGAAAGGTAAAGCTTTTCCCAAACACTCATTTCTTCTGTATTCACTGTTATAACAATTGAAAATTAAACTACTTGGAAAGATTGGCACAATACAGGAAATATTGGAATGTTTACACAGAATGTTTCAATTCAGTCTAAACTTGTTTTTAATACTATTTGATTTCAAGAACCAGAGAAAGTAATTTGAATTTTAATGCAAACAGAACCAATCTGTGAGTGTACCTAACCTCTCTTTGCCTTTCATTTTTATTACAGATTTTCTGCTTCAAATGATTACTTTGTCTTACATGTAAAGTGGAAATTTAGATTATTATTTTTTTGTTTAAATGTTACTTTAAATGTCATTCTTTCCTGCTAAGAGGAACTGAGAAGCTGAAGCGCATAATTACAATAGCTCTGTGTCATCATATAAATATTCCAAGAAGCAGTGCTGCATATTTATGTCAGTATTTAATAACGTCACATGACAAGGATGTGCTCACTAGAAGAGAAGTAGAGCAGAGAGGTGTACAGCAGTTCATAGACAAATCCCACACATTTGAATGGTACTAGCTCTAAGCTTCTAATATCATTGATAACCTGGTTAATCATCTTTCCTAGTCATATAAAAATCACAAGATTTCTGTCTGTGGGGGTCACTAGCTTCTTCAGGATTTCTGACAGGTAGAGGAGCCTGGGGAAAATTTACTTTTGAGTATGAAGGACAACAAAATAATTTTATTGGGCAAAAGATAAAGACTGAACACAGGCAAATACTGAACACTGATATCAAAGCATATTGTAGCTCTCCCTCTTCATCTATCAAGTGCTCTACTTACTATACTGCCACCTTCCGTTCCCGCCCCTGATGATGGCTGTGTTCTTTGCTGGTGCCCACGAAAACATACCACTTTCTTTCTGCTTCCATCATTCATTCTATTTGGCCCAATTGTTTACTTCTACATTCACCTCCAGCATCATACTCTCGGTTGCCTCTGCCTGCCAGCATTCCTCCTGCTCCTTTCCAGGCTGCCACCAGCAGTCATGTGTTGCCTTACTTCCCTGCCACTTACCTCAACACCTTGTTCTCTCCACTAGTGGAACTGTTTTTCCCCCAGCTTAAGCTCTTTCTCTTTTTCTGTATTCTCAACAATTCAGTCTCTAATCCTCACAGGCCTTCTTTTCTTCTTTTTTGTTTTTGTTTTGTTTTGGCTTTTTTTTTTTTTCCCTTTTGTTAAAATTCTGCTTTTTCATTCCATGAGTTTACTCTTTTTAATTCAATGTATTCTCCACTTCCAGTTAAATCTTCTTTTCTCAGTATATTTGGCCCTTCTTTCCAAAGATATTATGTTCCAAATCCCACTGTTTTTTTCATAGTTGGGTTTTCATTTCTCTGGTCTGTATTAACAACCTCAAAAACGTGTTAAATTCCCTTCAGACATTCTTATCTATCTTATACTCAGACCTTAACATGGCTCAAAAAATGCTTTGAGACCACAGAGGTTTTTGTAAATAAGGCTGTTATTTTACTGGTTTTGCTGGACTACTAGATTGGAAGAGCAGTAATTCAATATTTCTCTACACAGGTGCATTATATTCATTGATGTTAATATATAATAATAATAAAATAACTTTAGGCTGACTTAATAAATGAAAAATTTCTTTTTTTTTTTTTTTTTTGTCTTGGAGAATTATTGGCATTTGAATGCAAGGAGACATCATGTACTATTTTGCCACTTAAAACTTTGATTAAATAAAGAGAAAGATGATTATGAGATGTATTTCTGATGGTTGTAAGGATAAAACAAGGAACTTATCAGATAAAATTAAGTCAAAGGGGCTTGTAAAATAGATGTCATCATGTTCTTCACAAGCAGAGACTCCAAGCTGTCATTCAACAAGTAAGTTTTGCTTTGCACTAGGACAGAAGAACACTTAATGAACTCAATAATGAATGATTTATTTGAATTGCAGAGATCTCCATCTTCCACCACAAAAGATAATAATTAATCTCTGCAAATATATCCCATATAGCAGCAACTAATTCACAAATATAGACTAAGGGTACCATCACCAATTACAATGTCCTTCCTACATATGGAATTACCAAAGTAAGCTTATTGACAAGATTAAAAAAAAAAAAAATCACTTATTCATGAGGACACTAATGGTTTTAGCTAAAAAGCAGGAGACACTTGACTTGAGTTGTTTAAACCTTGATTGGACAAATTCATGGTAAATCCTGTCAGGAAAAAAAGCCAGCAAGAGAAAGGATTAAAAAGTTGTGCATTTGTGCATTTATATATATGCATGTATGCATGCATGCTAATATCTACGTCCTATTATATGTATTTCCATATATGTGTATATATTTCCCCTTTATATTTTCTATGATATTTTTAAAGATCTTCAAGACAAGGTTAATGCTTGGTTTTGTTTCTTGTTCCTTGTGAGTAAGATGTAACACACTTTAACATAACCCTGCTGACAAAAAAAAAAAAATCCAACTTTTGTGACTTCTGTCATTTAGTCATAGTGGGGATTTTTATTACAGAATCTTTAGAATAACAGGAGAAATAAATATATGACAACAGTCTGAGAGGCACTAAAGAAAATGAACTCGTTAAAAGTTCTGCAAAGAAATAAAAGCAAATTTGTTGTTCTTTATAATTTGTTCACATTATTTTTATCATCTAGATCTCATATTTTCTTCCTTTGTTTTTTGTTTTTTTTTGTTTGTTTGTTTGTTTGTTTGGAGAGGGAGGCGTGTAATTTGTTTTGGTATTGTTGCGTTTTTTTTAATTAGCATTTATCACTGTCTGCAACAATGGCTTCTGCATTACATTTTAAATTCTACCCATATGTTCTTGTATTTCTAAGAACATAAGTCTGATGGTTCTGCACTGGGAAATGTTTAGTTTCATTTTTAAAAAATTAAAAAATCAATTGGTTGAGCCTTGTACTCAAGGGTAACTTCTGTCAGATCTTTTGACTTAGAGGAACTGAACTGCAAAATGCCTTCCAGATTTTCATATGAAACTTTGACTGGGCTTTTATTCCTTCATCTCTCATTAATAATCAACTGAAATTCATACTTTTATCCCATCTGGCAACATGTAGGTTGCCATGACATGCTACTGCATCATTTTATAGAAGATAAATCTCTAAGATCTCATGCAGTGCTTAAAGGCCTTTATTATAGATCTATCATTAATGGCTTTTCTCTTCTTTGAAAAATACTTAGAATGCATACAAGCTATCATAACCTGTCTCTTCTTCCTCCATGCTATTACTTTTTAACACTCTGTTGTCTTATCATCTGGCTGCGCTGTGTTCATATGTGAGAGACTGAACTGAAATCAAACTCCAATCTCCATTGTCTCAAAGATTGGTATAAGGAGCTGAGGTCCACTGTTTCAAAGATGGGTGTGAAATACAACTCCACTGGTCATTGTCTTGAGGATTAGTGTGAGGAATTGCTGTCCGTTATCTCAAGGACTGCTGACAGACATGCAGAGTTGAAAAGCTATCTGCAAGACCAGTGAAACTGAATGTAAGTGAGCCACCAAAAATGTGTAGTAAGTTACATTAAGAACAGGGGTACTTCCTCCTAAAACATAATAAATGGGAAAAAAGTTAATCGCCAGGGGGCCAACTACCACCAAAGGCAACAACTACAGACCCTTATGATGCCACTGGAGCCACAGTGGTCACTATCTCTCTTTTCATTCCAAATTCTTGTTTAATTTCTATCCTTTTTTCTGATCTGTCCTATTGCTATCTTTTTTTAGAATAATAATCTTTTTTTTAAGACTTATTTTTTATAACAAACAAACTGACCGATTGCTGTACTTGACCTCACTTGCATCTTAATTTCACTCCAGGGTTCGTGAGCAAAGTATTTCTGACACTGGTTTTCATCCAATCAGACCTTGACATCATACACTTTATGTAGTATAATCTTTTATTTATTGGCATTACTTAAGTTTCCATTATAATTTATGGATCTTCTAACATGCAGTTTAAAATATTATCTTAAATCATCTGCCCACATTACTTCTTTGATCATACCCCCCTGTGCATTCTTTCTTCCTCACAAACTCTATTTTGACAGGCTGAGAAAATTGGGACTCTTCAGCGTGGAGAAAGGAAGGCTGCATGGAGACCTCCTAGCAGTCTTCCAGTATCTGAAGGGGGCCTACAAGGGTGCCGGAGAAGGACTTTTCATCAGGGACTGTAGTGACAGGACAAGGAGTAATGGGTTTACACTTAAACAGGGGAAATTCATGTTAGATATAGGGAAGAAGTTCTTTACAGTGAGGGTGGCGAGGCACTGGAACAGGTTGTCCAAAGTGGTAAATGCTCCATCCCTGGTAGTGTTCAAGTGCAGATTGGACAGAGCCTTGGGCGACATGGTTTAGTGTGTGGCATCCCCACCCATGGCAGTGGGGCTGGAACTAGGTGATCTTAAGGTCCTTTCCAACCCAAACTATTCTATGATTCTATGATTTTAGCTAAAGGATCCAGTAGAGACCTATATTCATCTGTAATTTCTCTTATACTGCCTAAATGTTGTATTTTTACCCATCCTCACTTTTCAGAAAGTGAAGTTTCACAAACTTGATAGTATAATAGCCAGGCCTTCTTTTAATTCACTTTCATTTACAGTTATTGCAAACAGCAACACAATTTGCCTGTCTCCTCACTAACACTGAATTTAGAGAACAAAATGAGATAAACAAAAGCAAAAGAAATAAACTTTGTGTGTTTCACTCTACTCTGCCTCCCAGAACCTTTTGTATTTTCTGAGTCTGTTTTTTGATTGTCTTTTTATTCATGTTCTGTACAGTGAGAACACATTACCAGCACTCTACTATGAATTCTGGGAACACTTGCCTACACTATGGACTTTGGTAACACGGTGTACTAGCTAGACTTCCCTGAGCATTTTTGGAAAGGAAGAGACAGGACAATTAGCATTAAAATTTTTCTTAGGGTATTTATTATTCTGTATTTATATACTAGGTTATCTACTGTTTGGGTTTCTTTACTTTCTTTTTTGAAAGAAAACAAAATTACAATAACCAATATTAGTGTTTGAACTGGCCACTAGAATGCTTTCTGCTTCCCAGATAGAATGATAGTGAGTAGGTAAATCACAGCAACAATGTAGTATTTTATGATACACTCCACTAATTTTGCCATAGCAGGTAGAATTATTGACCTACCTATCAAGAATTATGGTTTTAAAAATAAATATGTATCAAGTATAAATAATGCCTCTTTTCACTAGTTAGGTAAAAGACCACACAGTCAGTTTGGCAAGGCAATTAGAAACTTGAAGGGATGTATGGTCCTCCATATATTCCTTCAGGCATGACAACATCATAAAATTGTTACCTGTTTACAGTGGCTCAATTTAAGAGACCCAGCAAACGTTCAGCAAAGTTAAGGGTAGTTGTAATTTACATAGTGATATTCCTTGCTGAAACATTCCTCTACTAGTAGGCATGTTAGATAACAAGATATCACTTCCCTGTCTAGCTAATTAAAAGGAGGATGTTAAAGACAGCAAAAGGTTTTCCTATTTATTGTTTTGTCTTTGTTGTACCTCTCTCTTTTCTAATTTTGTGCAAGAAGGCACTAAAATGGAAAAAACAAAAACAACAAGAAAACCCCAAAACAAAACAAAAAAACCCAAAACCACAAACCAGAAAACCAAACAAAATCCATTGATTATTTTGAATTTGGGCTTCAGCATATTGTGTCCAGATTTTCATGATAAAAGGTTTCATTTATAGTCTCTCCTACACCTTTACAAAGTGACATGAAAAGTCCTTTCACATGGTTTACCTATTCAGATTTCATCTTTACTGACCTGTAACAGACCTTAACAGAGCCCTGGCACTTTATCATGTCTAGACAGAAACAATTGTTTGGCTATCTCTAAAGAGTAAGAGACTTGAGAGAGTCAGGATTTATCCAGAAGGTGAGAAGGCGCCAGGGAGACCTTATTGCAGCTTCAGTACTTCAAATACTTTACTTAAAAAACACTTTTAAGAAAGATGGGGACAGACTTTTAATAGAACTGTAGTGATAGGACAAGGGCTAATGATTTTAAACTAAAAGAGGGTACATTCAAACTAGATATAAGGAAGAAATTTTTTAAGATAAGGGTGGTGAAACACTGGAACAGGCTTTCTAGACAGGTAGTAGATGCTCCATCCCTCGAAACATTCAAGGTCAGGCTGGATGGAACTCTGAGGAAACTTGATTAAGTGGAAAGAGACCCTGCTCATTGCAGGGAAGTTGGACTAGATGACTTCTAAAGATCCCTTTCAACAAAAACCTTTCTATGATGCTATGACTCTAACAGTAAAACATAGTCACTTCAAATTTATGAGCTCCTGAGGTAGTTTTCTACTGAAGGGAGTAATTGAAGCCTAGCTGAGACCTCTCCAGTGAGGGGAATCACTCAGCTGTCCTGTGTCTGAGACTGCCACCAAGCCTGATGATGTTACGTGCTTTCATAGAATCATAGAATAGTTAGGGTTGGAAAGGATCTTAAGATCATTTACTTCCAACCCCACTGCCATGGGCAGGGACACCTCACACTAAACCATCTCACCCAAGGTTATGTCCAACCTGGCCTTGAATGCTGCCAGGGATGGAGCATTCACAACTTCCCTGGGTAACCCATTCCAGTGCCTCACCATCCTTACAGTAAAGAACTTCTTCCTTATACCCAATCTAAACTTCCCCTGTTTAAATTTGAACCCATTACCCCTTGTCCTACCACTACAGTCCCTAATGAAGAGCTCTTCCTCAGCATCCTTAAAGGCCCCCTTCATATACTGGAAGGCTGCTAGGAGGTCTCCATGCAGCCTTCTCTTCTCCAGGCTGAACAGCCCCAACTTTCTCAGCCTGTCTTCATATGGGAGGTGCTCCAGTCCCCTGATCATCCTCGTGGCCCTCCTCTGGACTTGTTCCAACAGTTCCATGTCCTTTCTATGTTGAGGACACCAGAACTGTTCACAATACAAGTGAGGTCTCATGAGAGCAAAGAGGCAGGATCGCCTCCTTCTACCTGCTGGTCACGCTTCTCTTGATGCAGCCCAGGATACGGTTGGCTTTCTGGGCTGCAAGCGCACACTGCCGGCCCATGTTCATTTTCTCATCAACCAGCACCCCCAAGTCCTTCTCCACAGGGCTGCTCTGAATCTCTTCTCTGCCCAACCTGTACCTGTGCCTGGGATTGCTCCAACCCAGGTGTAGGACCTTGCACTTGGCATGGAAAAACTTCATGAGGTTGGCATCAGCCCACCTCACAAGTGTGTCGAGGTCCCTCTGGATGGCATTCCTTCCCTCCAGCGTATCAACCGATCCACACAGCTTGGTGTCATGCAGAGGGTGCACTCAATCCCACTGTCCATGTCAACAACAAGATGTTGAGCAAGACCGTTCCCAACACTGATCCCAGAGGGACATCACTTGTTGCTGGTCTCCAGCTGGACATTGAGCCATTGACCACAGCCCTTTGCGTGCAGCCATCCAGCCATTTCTTTATCCACTGAGTGGTCCACCTATCAAATTGATGTCTCTGCAATTTAGAGACAAGGATGTTGTGTGGGACAGTGTTGAACACAAGTCCAGGTAGATGACATCAACTGATCTACCCCCGTCCCTCAGTTTCACACTGTATGTAGTCCATGTAGTTTCATACTACATCTTTGAATAAGGAGAATAAAAGTCTATTCACCCTTGGTGGAAGAAAGGTAATAGATTACCTCTTTTAGCTGCAGCTGTCTTGAAGAGGAGGGATCTGTTATTTATTTTCCTGTATTAGAAGCCTGGGGAAAAACAGGAATTCAATCTAAAACCTACTACATGTACCAATGTAGAGCATGATTCAGGTAGATAAACACAGGCATCTGGAATCGCTTGAGGTGCCCTTTGGTTTCTTGCCTGTCATCTACTTGGATGTCTGTCTTCAAGTGAATATGGAGAAAGGCATCACTAATATAATACAGCTGTAATGCTATCTTCATATTACATCGAACAATGTAACAGAAAATCTGAAAAAAAGATATGTAGAGAACAAGAGACCCTGTTCTTCCCATTGTTTGGAGTTTTCAGGGTCTCTCTTCGTCCCCTTTGCTCAGATTAGACCTACTTCTTCAATTCCCCAAAAAACAATTCTGGACAGAATAACTAAAATATAATACCCAAATATATATCAGGTTTTATACTTTTCTAAGTATTAAAATACAATGGGAAGATCAGAAAAACACAAGCATGACCACAAAAGTCAGATGCAGACAGAGCACGTCACATGCTGCTGAATTGCACTCTGAAGATACTATCACACTAAATAGCATGAACTTTCTCCAAAATGTCTTGAGTTCAAGAGCCACTCATTGTACGCAATGGGGGCTTCATGAAGATCCCTCTGCTTCCTTCTTTCCTTTTGTGAAATATCTATTTTTAAATCATAAAATGTTATTTCATTATCACTGGTTCCTATCAACATGCTCAGTATTTCTCATGACACAAACACATCCAGAAACTCAGTTTTTTCTATTTCTATTCTATTGATTTACTGAGAAAACATACAAATGAAGTGGGTATATAAGAAATAATAAATAGCAGAACCCTGTCTGGACTTCAGTCCCAAGTGCTTGGTCTAGTGTCTGAAAATATTTTATTATGCTCCAAGCAAGAACTACTATGCTAATCCCTCTGGAATGCAGCATTTATTACTTACCTGGCAGGTGTGAAGTGTTGCATGATAAACCCTTCTCCCCCTCCTTCTCTCCACCTCCTGCTTTGTTCAGGCAAAGCTGAAGAGGAGAGGGAGGAGATAATCCTCTTCAAATGAAGCATTTATTATGCTAGATGCAGGCATGAACTGCCACTTGCCAAGTGGAGTTAGCACAGTTATTACGGGACAGTCTGTTTATACAAGCATTAAACAGCATTGCAAACAAACTGAAGCTTGGTACAATCTGACCATCTCTTTCTTGAGAAAGTTCAGGGCTTTTTGCTGTTCTTTACAATAGCTAGAATTCCCAATTTCCAAACCACATCCTTATTATTGGATTACTGGTATTGGGACCTTTGATTCTAAAGCAAATTTGTGAGTTTGGTGGTGGTGGTGGTTTTGTTTAGATTTTTTAGGGGCATTTCCTTTTTTAAAAAAAAATTTCGGACTTAGATCTGCCAAAATTTTTGTCCAACTGTTCTTAGAAATTTGGGTTGGACTAATTTGCTTGTTTCAAGAGCATCAATTCTGTCTATTTTACAGACAACTGCATATTTCAGCAATTCTCCATGTTGTGTCTCTGATATATTACGCAACCAAAAAACAATTGCTCTCTAGGCACGCAAAGTCAGCTTCACAATTTTGGCTCTCAGAGCAGAGCCAAGTTACCAAATCATACATTCAGACAGGATTCCTCAAATTCAGAGCATGCACTAACAAATAACCAATAAAAGTTTGTGCATTTATGTCTGTTTAGAAAATGAAAATTCCCTGACTTGTTCTGTTTTCCACAGAAGATCTGAAGTTTTGGTTTATTTCATCCAAAGCAGAGAAGAAATGAAAGACAATGAGCCAGGAAATAAGTACTGAAGCCTAACTGTCAACAGATATGCTCTTCTAGAAGAGCTTAACTCTTACAGCTGTGTTTTCCTCTCCTGTTTGAGGTGATTTTAAATAATATATGGCTACCCTTTTCTGTCTACAGACTCTTTAGCAGTTTATTACCCCCAACCTACCTGTGGCCAATTGCTATATATCTACTGTAGGAGTTTCTCCTCTGGTGTGTCCCTTCTTCATTTCAGCCAAAATCAGCTGGATCAGTACTGGGCTATGGCAGTCTGAGGCATCCTAAATAAACCTCACTTGCGCCTCTGTGTTGTATAAAACAAATAAGTGCAAAAAGTAAATTATCTTGGAGGTTTGTTTGTTTATTTGTTTATTTGTTTGTTTTTTTTTTCTCAGAATTGAATGAAAAGACTGAACTGAGAGAGTAACAGCATTCCTGGAGCAAAGTGAGTGTTTTAGGTACTTCGAACTGGAGATGCTATTTATCCCCAATTCTCTTCTGTAACACATCTTCAATGGCTGAAAATAAAGGCAAGCATAGTTACTGAACCTCAACATGCATACTGACAAGCTTGTAGTGCTGCAAATGGATTAGAAGTTCTCTCAGAAGAAAAAAATAATAGAAGCAAGTCACACACAAATGTTTAGAAAGTTACTAACTATAAGATACAGAAAGTACAAAATATTAGAGATTCTGCACAACAGTGATATAATTAACGTCAGTCTAACCAAGCATCTACACTGCCAACCAGCATAAGTACAGTGAAATATTGCCTGTGTGGTAATTTTCCTTTTTCTTTGTTTCTTTTTACTTTGGAGGCACCCGCTGTGTTGTTTCCATTTTATACTTTATTGGGTTTGTGTAGCAAGGTTTTGGTAGTGGGAGATCTACAGGGGTGGCTTCTGTGAGAAGCTGCTGAAAACTTCCCCTGTGTCTGATGGTGCTAATGCAAGGTGAAAAAGTTACTGAACAGTTACTGAAAAGTTGTGGCAATTGCAACCAGAGAGAGGAGTGAGCATATGTGAGAGAACCAGCCCTGCAGACACCAAGGTCAGTGCAGAAGGAGGGCAGGAGGTGCTCCCGGCTCTGGAGCAGAGATTCCTCTGCAGCCTGTGATGGAGCCCATGACGAAGCAGCTGTGCCCCTGCAGCCCATGGAGGGCCATGGTGGAGCAGATCTCCACCTGCAGCACATGGAAGACCCCAGGCCAGAGCAGGGGGATGCCTGAAGGAGGCTGTAAACCTGCAGGGGACCCACACTGGAGCAGTCTGTTCCTGAATGACTGCACCCCATGGAAGGACTTATGCTGGAACAGGGGAAGAGTGTGACAAGTCCTCTCCCTCAGATGGAATGAGGGCAGGATCAGCATGTGATGAACTGATCATAACCTCCATTCTTCTCTGTTGCCCTCTGCATCTGATAGGGATGAGGTAGAGAACTAAGGAGTGAACTTGAGTCCGGGAAGGAGGGGGGATGGGAAGAAGGTGTTTTAAGATTTAGATTTTATTTCTCATTACCATACTCTGATTTGATTGGTAATAAATTAAACTAATTTCCCCAAGCTGAGCATATTTTGCCCATGATGGTAACTGTTGAGTGATGCCTCTGTGTCCTTATCTGACCCACAAACTTTTCAGGTTTTCTCTCCTGTGTCCATCTGAGGAGAGGAGTGATAGAAAGGATTTGGGAGGCACCTGGCATCCAGCTGGGGTCAACCCACTACGTATACATCTGAATGACAGTTAAAAATAGGAACGAACATGTTGGGACTTTGTTCTTAAAGCTTTCTGTAATGAAGCCTAGGTTATGTGTATATCAGACTTGGTACTGATTTCCTAATTGGCAAACTTACACTTGCAGCTCAACTTGCATGAGAACATGCAGAATGCTATCTTTTTCCTTGAAGAATTCTTCTGTCGATACAGATACACAGAATACCTTGTAGGAAAATTTAGGATTCAATGAAATTGCATGAGGCTATAAAGAAACAGCCAGAGTTATGTTCCCCAAAGTTGCTTCCACAGAATTATCAACCTCTTTGCTTCAGGAAACAATTTTTATAGAATATTTTCTTACTGACTTGTACCAGACAATTTTCTCTATACTTCTGTCCTGGGTTCAGCAGTAGAAGTCATTTTTTCTCCTTCTTAGTAGCAGGTTCAGCACTGTACTTTTGACTTTCAACCTGGGAACAACACTGATAACACTGATGTTTTTAGTTGCTGCTCAGTAATGTTTAGTCTGACCAAGGACTTTCTAAGCCTCATGCTCTTCCAGGGAGGAGGGGAAGCATTGGGGAAGCAGAGATAGGACACCTGACTCAAACTAACCAAAGAAGTATTCCACACTGCAGCACGTCATGCCCACTATATAAACTGGGGGAGTCACTGGGAAGGGCTAGATCAATGCTTGGGTCAGGCTGGGTATCGGTCGGTGTGTGGTGAGCGGTTGTATTCTCTTCCCTTGCTATCTCCCTTATTATTATTGTTGGTGGTGGCAGTAGTGGTTTGTGTTATACCTAAATTGATGGCTTGGCTTTGCGAGCGAAGATTTGGGAAGGGCTTTAACCACGCTTACTACAAGCACGATGACCAAGGGCATGTGGGATATGCAAATCTGGTTGGAAAAAAAAGGGTGCTTAGGCAATCAGGAAGTGTCCGACCGTGACTGTCAACTCCTGAGCTAACTTGACCTACCCATGCGCTGGCCCGCCTGCATGCAAAGTTGGATCTGCAGCTACCCATGCACCTTGTCACCAACCATTTCGACCCTCATCTGTCCATACAGACAAGTGAGAGTGAGCCCTTCCAGCGTGCGCAGTGGATTTTTTAGGTAAAGCACAGCTTGCGCAGAACTGGCCCCAACCTTTAAACCTGAGGTTTAACTGCCATGGCCCAGTTAGCTAGGATGGCGACAGCAAAGTCCACAAATCGTAGGTTTTGTAAGAATGTCCTTCTCTTTGATGGAAGACCATACAAGGCTAGGCGAGCTCCATCAGCCCGGGTTTGAAGATAGGAGTTTTCCTTCTCCCATGAGGAAGGCCTCTCATCGCTAACAAAGATTCAGGAAGACTTTCACCCACGCATTCTGAACAAGACTGTCATCTCCTGGGTCAATCACAAGTGACCGATGATGCAATAGCACAACAAGCATCTAGGCAGGATACTTAGAGGCGTTCAGTCATAAGCCCGCAGATGGTAGCCTCGCGCCAGTGGCTCCTCAGCCAAGCGCATGCACCAGGGT